TTTTTCTTTTTGCAGCATTTTTCTTTTTGCAGCATTTTTCTTTTTGCAAGTGCTTTCTGAAGTTGCAGTCCGTTTGGCCTCTCAGGGCCACCGTACTTTACCCCTGGTCCTAAAGTGTATATTTATTTTCTCCCTCTTCTTATATTTATTGTTTGTTTACTTGCACTGCTGTAACTGGAGCCTCGTCGTCTTGTTTCTCTACTGGACTGTATGTAGCGGAGATGACAATAAAGTTTACTTTGACTTCAGCAGCAAGCAGGCGCACCGAGGGCTCTCGTATAGAATTTGGAAAAAACATCGGTGCAAATTATAAGTCTGTATCATGACCTCTGGTGTTTTCGTGTTCGTTGGTTTGTTTTTTATTTTGTTTTATTTTCCGAGTTGGTTATTAGACGCTGCTCCTGCCAGCCAGAGAATCCCCCGCCGCCCCGCCCTCTCCTCCCTGTGCCGCAAGCAGCAGGCGCACCTCGCAAACGGAGGGCGCCCTTACTCCCAGCAAATGGGCGATAGAAAACCGATCGGTGCCTGCGCCATTCCCACTATGCGCTGGCTGATGTCGGGGCAGCATGAGTAGCCTACGAGCAATTTTTTTTCTTTTTTTTTGCCGATGACCGTGATGCCGCCCCCACCACAATGCCGCCCCGGGCAACCGCCCGTGTCGCCCGTATCAGAAACCGCTACTGTTCACTTGCATGGAATACTTTTGGTAAATTTCATGTTTTTTAGGGTGTTGACTCAAAAAATGATCTTCAGTTGCCTCCATGACGTACAGTTTTCTTTTGTTTTCTTTTTGTTTTTTTGCAAAACACCAGGAGTTGACATTATAAAAAGCACAACAGCAATGACAAAAATCAATATTTGATTTTCAATACTATGCATAATTTTTCCCAGATTCCTTACCTTTCCCTATGAACAAAACAAACCTGTTGGGGATCATCTGAGCTCCTCAAATCGCCAAACCTACGGTGCCCTCCCACTCCTACTGACCCCCCTCAATTTATTTCATTTTCTAGAAATATTACATTAATGTAAGAAATAATTATTGGTTATGGTTTTTTGACTCAAGTATACGATACCAAATTTCAGTTTTAAAAGGGACATTGCACGCTTAATTAAACTAAAAACGTGAGTTCTGCTAGCAAACCTGACGAGATGGAATTAAAAAATATATATTTTTGAATGTTTCAGTGAGAGGAAAATCTAAGAAACAGTCAAAAAATGTTTTTTGGTTGCATACATGTGTTAGTGTCGGGTTTACCTTAGACTGCCACCGTTGAGATTTTGTACTATATATGAAAACAATTGAACTGAACAAAATGCAGTATTTTACACAAGTGAATGAATTTTGAGCAAATTCTAAGCAATTAAAAAAATTATAGTCCGATTGATGCATCTCGTCGGTATGCGGACCGGAAGTTATGTATGACTTCCGGCTGTGGCGTGGGGCGCTTGAATTGGGTGAAAGGTGAAGAAGACGACCCGCAGCCAATTTGTGCACAAACTGTGATCGCTTCCTCTACATTTCAACTCACCTGAGCCCCACCATGCTCCAGAACACAGGGTGAGTGCCTTCTCCTGCACGCAGAAGTCCATTCAAAAGTTCGCTGTGTAAAGTCCGCGGTTCGCCCGAAGTGTCGTCACGGAATGCTACGCAGCCCTGGAACAAGCGGAGGTTTTAAATTAATAAAATGGTTCGATTTGAGGGTTTTAACGCAGCCGAATTAATGATGAAGAGTTCCGTTGTGTAAATCTGCTATACTTTGTTCTTCTTCTCTTGTCGTCTGTCTTTTTGAGCAAGGCATTATGAAGTCCAAGATTATTGTATTGGATCTGGTGGCAACCGCTTATTCACGATGAGATTCTGCCCTTGCATGCAAACAGGCTGTTTCTCTTCAGAAACTTGTGTGGTCTGCATTTATTAACCACCTGATTTAGAGTTCAGAGCAAAGAAAAGCTGTAGAACTGTAGTGTATGTAAACAGTTTTAAACTGGTACATCACGGGAGAGGAACTGAGCTGGTGGCATTGCTTTAAATTACAGGATCTTATCTGCTGCGTCTGGTCACAGGTGATCAGTCTGAATTCAGCTTAAACATTTAATTAGCTGCATCGGCATCCACTCGACAATCCCAAGGAATCAACCCACTAACAAGTGGCCATTTTAATATAAATAAACGTTTTCGACCATAGTGGAGCCGAACTAACTGTTATAACTGTGTCTTTCATAAATAATTCGCAATTTGGCTGTACTCTGTCTGCCCTTTGACCTTTGAGTTGTAGCGTTCAAAGCGCCAGATGTAGGAGTTTGTAGCAGCAGCAGCTACAGTGTAACTACTACCTCTGTCTGTTAGCTCCCGGGCTAATTAAACACTCCCTCCTTTATTTGTTTTTTAGCAGGAAAGGTTTGCCTGAAGCTCGTTTTTGGACTGAGACTTATTCAGATGATTTTTTTGTTCGAACAGCCGCTGAACGTTAGTGTAGTTAAGCTAACCTTACAGGAAGTGAATTTTCAAAATAAAACAATGTTGCTGTGTAGGTTTTACTATTAAAAACCAACAGAAACTTGCATATTTGGAATTGACAAACAATTCAGAGTCCTGTGTGTGTCAAATATATACATTTTATTAATTTAATCTCAAATATGGCCTGTACAAACCACCACCTGCCAACTCAATGAAATTTCTTTAGATTTTTTTTAAAGAAATTAACGCATTCCTTTGTTTCCTATTTTAAGAATATTAAACATTTAATTAACTTAAAACAAGAAATAAAAAATGTAGGGCGGATTATTTAGGTTCTTTTAATTTTCTTCTGTCTTATTTTCACTGAGGGGAGAAGGGAGGTGTTGGCATATAGGTTAACTTTCTTCCTGCTGCAGGAAGCTAGCTGGCTGCACGCTCTTCATCACCGGAGCGAGTCGAGGAATCGGGAAGGCCATAGCTCTGAAAGCTGCCAGAGATGGTGCCAACATCGTGATTGCTGCCAAAACTGCTGAGCCCCACCCCAAACTCCCCGGGACCATCTACACCGCAGCACAAGAGGGTGAGGCGCTGACAGGTCAATAAGGTAACGAGCAACCTTTGTCTCTGAACTTACATTTTGTGTGTGTGTGCGCGCATGTTGCAGTGGAGGCAGCGGGAGGAAAGGCATTGCCATGCGTGGTGGACATTCGTGATGAGCAGCAGATCGGAGATGCTGTTCAGAAAGCCGTTGACGCATTTGGAGGTAAAGACACTTTTTCAAAATCACCTTTAATCAGAACAGGAAGTAAATTCTATCCTGCCAACACACCACCTTATCAGTGACATCATCAGTTCCTGTCTGATTGGCAGGCATCGACATCTTGGTGAACAATGCAAGTGCCATCAGTCTGACAGGAACTCTGGAGACGCATATGAAAAAGGTCGACCTGATGCTGGGAATCAACCTGAGAGGAACTTACCTGACGTATGAGCACACACCTGCATTTGTTTTTTTAAACAGGAAGTGAGCTAAGACGCTTAAAGCTACAGCAACTCATCCATCACACGCAGACACGATTGGTAGTTCCAGGTCTGTGACAGGTGAGAACAGGTAGAGCAGGTAACCAGCTTGTCTCCTGTAAACTGTGAGTTCACATACAGGAAGTATGTTTACAGTGAGGAGTTACAGGTGACTGTTTGAGTGCCAGAAAGGCTGATCAGGGTTAATCACTCAGCTCTGAGTTGATAAAAGAAAGCTGTCATCACTGATTCACCATGACAACGGGCAAATAAAGAGCAGAGTCTGCATTTTTAATCCAGTGGATCAAAAAAAGATGTTTCCATGTGACCTGATGATGATGTGAGCACAACAGCATAGTTACATTTCTTGTAGCTTTAAACCAAAACGGTGTGACTCCCAGACACACACTACACCTCATGAGAACACGTACCACCAAAGTAAACATAAAGGTCGTCAAACGGTTTCACCAACAAAGTTTTGAAACTGACGGAGTGACACAACTCTCCGGTGGTGTTTTTGTCCTGCAACCTGTCGTTTGCCAAGTATGTTTGTAAACCCCTGCACCGTGAGCTGAGCTGAAGTGCACTAAATATCAAAGAAACAAGTTTCAGTGCTTTTAGCGGGAATAAAGTAGCAACATGTTTTTATCAGCTCATAGCAGAGGAAGAAGACCACACTTTAGGAGACGAGCTGACACCGTCTCATCAGGCTGTTCAGAAACCTGAGTGAGTGGAGCGCATCGTGGAAATGCTGCTGGTGTCCTTTAATTTTCCACCAGCAGGTTGTTAAACGTTGCACTGCTGTAATAACCGATTTGCATGATTTATAGAAATTGTTCAGATCATGAAAGATTAACTTATCAAAGTGAGTTCAGTGTTCACTTGAGTTCCGTTTACATTAGTAATGTGTGTTTCACCCTTTAGGATAATTGACGAATGGAAGGAATTTTTCTTCACTTATAGAAATCGTAGACATGGAGCAGGGAAAGGTTTCAATGGATCACTGAAATAAGACATCTGTTGCTATTTCTTTAAATTTCCATATAGTGTGGTTAAAAGTCAAATTCTCTGAGCACCAAACGTCTCCTTATAGTTTCTGCTTTCAAACAGTCACAAGTAAGAGGTGCATGTCTGTTTAAGCTTCTTTAACCCTCTGTCCTCAGATGGTCCTGCTGTAAAGTTGAAATGACACTAGGTGGCACTCAATGAGCATAAATGGGTGCTACAGCAGTCTTTCTATAACATCATAATCTAGCTCTCCATAAACACTCCTGCCTGATAACTTCACGAGCCGCTGGTATGAGCGGAGCATGATGGAAGCACTCATTAAACACCAGTCGCGCTTGTAATCTACCACACTATCAGTACACTGCTCTCTGTGTGCGTCAAAACACGATGTGCTGTGATTTGGGTGTATTGGAGTGCTTAGTATTGGAGTTGAGGAGATGGACGGTTTGCATTTTGTGAATCAAGTTAAGGAGCCACGTGTCCTCAGAGTTTCATGAGACTGGAAAAACCAGAACTCGATACGTGCTGAAAACCTTCCAGTGCTGCCAGTACTCCTCAGCAGGCTGAGCAGGTTACACCTTTGCCCTGAGACTAATTCAGAGGCCTTGGTTTGAGTTGGGCTCAAGCTATTTGCTGTGTTTGTGTGTTTACGCCTGCGTGCTCTCTTGTCTAGCCTGTCAAAATACAGGCTGAAGAGCCCAAATAAAAAAGAGTGGCTGCGTATAGGACTCAGATAAAAATAGATACTTTGGTGACTTCGAGAGTGAAACTTAATATTTTTAGACTCTGTTGAACATTTAAAATTTTGCCCTGCAGCATTTAATGACTGCATCATATTTGAACTTGGAACGGTGTCTAAACAGCTCATAGTGCAAAAACTATTTAAACTGCATTTAGTCCAGTTTTAGATTAAGTCATTTCAGATCAGGGTGAGCTGATGGATGATGGTCAGTGATCAGTGACAACTCGATTTTAGCCATTTATTCTGTACACATCATTATTTCAGGCGAAACTTTCTCATATCCATCAGTGAAAAGTTGACTGAGGCCACGATGGACAGTTGGTATGAGTACAGGTGTAAAAGGAAACTCAGGGCAGATGTTATGAGTTAATCTTGCTGCTCAGCTGATATTCGCCCACATCTGTTCACAGTAAAGAGAACTCATGCATCGCTGTGAACATGTAAACGTGTCTTCATCCTGGGAGTTGGGAATAAACTCGTGGTGTGGGCTGATGAGCGCTTTGTGTGTTTTGGGTTTCAGAGGGTGAACGTGTCGCCCTGTCAGCTGCGTGTCAGTTCCCCCTGCCTCCCCTCAGCATCAGTATCACTCATGAAAGTGACTTTAACATTTAAACCTAAAGTCATTTGTGTAAGGTTGACAGTACTGTGAGGGGGGGGGGGAAGATGCTCCTCCTTTTAAACTGATACTGTGTGAGATCTGTGTTGTGGGGCAAAGCATGACAACACCAGCGGAGGGCAGTATGAACTGGAGCAGAGTGTAGCCTATTCATGTAATCAGATACAGCTTTGTCTTTCAATGATTAGAAAACAAGACACTTAGAAAAACACTTGTGTTACTGGAACAGGTTTTCAAATACATGTGGACAGTAACATGTATGTGGTCACACGTGTTTGATGGGTCTGTGTTTCAGGTCTAAGCTGGTCATCCCTCACCTGCTGAAGAGTCGGAATCCTCACATCCTGAACCTGTCGCCGCCTCTCAACCTGAACCCCGTCTGGTTCAAGAACCACACCGGTAACTATAGCAACTATCTGGCCCTGTGTCCCATGATGCATCTGTACAACCTTTACATGTCTGATTTGGGTTTTTTTTTAAGCCTACACAATGGCGAAGTATGGCATGTCCATGTGCGTACTGGGAATGGCTGAAGAGTTCAGAGGTCAAATTGCCGTCAATGCCCTCTGGCCGAGGACGGGTGAGCAGCTGTTAGCATGCTAACAATGCTAACACTTATTCTGTAATATTAACCCTGCTCTGTGTTGTTGCCATAGCGATTCAGACAGCAGCCATGGACATGCTGGGGGGAGAGGGTGTCAGTAAACAGTGTCGGAAAGCTGACATCATAGCGGACGCTGCCTACGCCATCCTGTCCCGTCCGAAAGATTACACGGGTCACTTCCTGGTGGATGAGGAGTTCCTCAGAGAGCAGGGTGTCAAAGACTTCGACCAGTACGCTGTCCAGCCGGGTCACCCTCTGCTGCCAGACTTCTTCCTGGATGAGACTCCAGAGTCACTGGTGGAGAAGATGGAGCAGCACGGTACAAACAAACACACTGCTGCCTGCCAGGCACTGGCTGTGTCCAAATTAAGAGGCCGCACGCTTGAAGTACGCGCACTACACGTACTACGTACGGTGCGTACTATAAGTACGAGAAGTGCGGAAGTGAGAGGCTTGTGAAATGGCTTCGTCGCGCTGTTCAGGTTGCCTAGCTACCATGATACTAACCGCGAGAAACGTTTCATACAGCTTTGTTTGACAGAAATGAAGGAGAACAATGTTTTCTTGGTCATTCATTTTTGTCATGACATCACTTTGATTAGTTGAGTATCTGAAGCTGAGACCACAGGACTGTAAAACATGATTGTTGTGGTATCGTGCCATCTCTAGTAAATATAATATGGCCAATATTATATGTATTGTCAGATTATTATGATATATATAGATAGATAAATAGATATATATTTTACAGGATATATTACAGCAGTGAGCTTGAACTCTGTGTCAAAGATTCAAGTTGCAGTTATTTATATTTCCTATCATATATAAGAGACAAATATTGTTCTTTTATTATTGTTGTTGGCATTACTAAATTTGGCTCATTGCTTACATATATTTATAAAAAGAAAATGTATGAGCTGTGAAAACTGTTTCTGATAAAATGAAGAGTAGACTGATATATGAAATATTCCTTTATTGGGTGAGAAAATCAGACCATGTCATAACTGCTTTAAGTCATACAGAATAGA